CTCCTCATACACAGCCAACTTGGCCGCTTTTCTCACTCTTGAAAAAATGCAAGCGCCCATTGAAAGTGTCGAGGATCTCGCCAAGCAGACAAAAATAAAATATGGAACTCAAGGTGGAGGATCAACAGCGTCATTTTTCAAGGTGAATATCCAGCAGTAAATTTGACATTGAGATCGACATTTCATTGCAGAATTTCCTTTAGTACTCATCGGTGCAGATTTACCAGCGGATGTGGCGTTACATGGAATCACAGGTGCCTTCAGTGTTCGTCTCCAGCTACGCTGAAGGTATCGAAAGAGTTCGTAGCCACAAAGGACGGTACGCGTTTCTGCTTGAAGCCACCGCTAACGAGTACGAAAACACGCGTAAACCCTGTGACACAATGAAAGTCGGTAAGTGAATGTACCTGTTTTGGGAATTAATTCAAGGAATCTTCCGCGGAAAAAGCTCCGCCCTCATTACCACAGAAAACGATACCTTAAAGGAATCTTCCACGGAAAGAGTGATCATTTTGCCTTGTGTGTAGGATTAGTATTATCGAAACCAACACTTATGTTCCGTTCTTTTTGCTATGCTCATGAGGCTAGGGGCCTAAGGGGTATCGTTTTTCTGTGGTAATGGAGGCGGAGCTTTTTCCGCGGAAGATTCCTTTAATTAATTCCCAAAACAGGTACATTCACTTACCGACTTTCATTGTGTCACAGGGTTTACGCGTGTTTTCGTACTCGTTAGCGGTGGCTTCAAGCAGAAACGCGTACCGTCCTTTGTGGCTACGGACTCTTTCGATACCTTCAGCGTAGCTGGAGACGAACACTGAAGGCACCTGTGATTCCATGTAACGCCACATCCGCTGGTAAATCTGCACCGATGAGTACTAAAAGAAACTCTCTAATGAAATGTCGGTCTCAATGGTAAATTTACTGCTGGATATTCACCTTGAAAAATGACGCCGTTGATCCTCCACCTTGAATGCCATATTTTATTTTTGTCTGCTTGGCGAGATCCTCGACACTTTCAATGGGCGCTTGCATTTTTTCAAGAGTGAGAAAAGCGGCCAAGTTGGCTGTGTATGAGGAGACGATGATCATGGTGAAAAACCACCACGCGGACGAGGCAATTCGCCCGGAAATTGACCTAAACCCGTAACAAGTCATGTAAGCACGGCAGAGAAGCTGGAGAGAAGATTATGATTATGATGAAATTATCTTTGAAACTGAGATAAGCTCAGTTCAGTCAGAACTGAAGAGATTTTGTACTGACTGTCATAAATTGCCCATCTGAGTTTGAGATTTATGCCGCAAGTGACTAGTTGCGCGAGAACGCGCCCCTTCTTTAAATCGCACCTCTTATTTCGTTCAAACGTTAACGAAGCGCGCCTCTTCGTAACGCGAAATGGAGTGCGCAGTCTGAATTAGGGGGAAAGTTACAATTTGCGTTGTCAATTTCGAACAAGAACTGAGCTCCAAGTAGCACAGAGGTTCGACGTTCGATGAATCTTGGCATCGTGTGTGGTATTTGTATCAGATTGCTTCTGAAGCCGCAAGCCAAGATGATACAAGACTTTATTTGGCTAACGTTTCGGCTTGGTCGCCTTCGTCAGAGCCTGGAAAGTCTTGAATGATCTCGTATATTTATGAGTGGACATTTGGGCCCAATATAAGTGTCTGCTGATTGGGTAAGCAATCCCTTACAATTAGCGATTACGTGGCAAGGTAGCTTGCGATTAGTTCTAGGACAAAAACTCTTAGAATTTGACTAAAAAGGGCAAAGAATGAGATATCACTAAATTTGAGGCTAGATGGATTGGACCTCTAATCTGTTAAGGGAAATGAAATTTGCGAAAAGCTGCGGCTAATGTGGGCACAATGAGGTTCTTCACGCAAGGACTACAAAGCGTGAGGGCTTGCAAATAGTGTAGAAGGTTTTAACCCTTTCCGGACCGCCTGACACACATGGGGTGTCAGGCCCAATTTGCTCCCTGTGGCCGCCTGACACCCATGGGGTGTCAGGGACTTCAAGGAGTGATTTTTGCGAGGATTCGGTTTTTCTACAAAATGTTTTTCATGTTGTTACATATCTATGTAACATACTCATGCCGTATGTATGAAAAAATCTGGACTACAATCTCGAAATAGTTCCTAAACTAACCAAAAACTAAGTGGACTTCCACTTCGAACTTAAAGAAAACAGTTATAACTCATTTGAAACCAATTCATACAAAAGAATTCATGACATCTTGTGCACGTCGTAGCTGATACTATTGAACCTAAAAGTTTTGGATACTTTCTAATCCCTTTTTCCTCATTACAACTTATTTTGAACAATTTTCACTCCTGCCTTCCTTTGTGTGGCCCTGTCACTTTTATTACAGGACGGCTTTCTGTTATATTTACCACAAATATACTTTAAGAAATGAGAAAGACACAAACGAGAATAATATTGGTTTTTATGGGAATACAGATTAAATATATATGATGTTTATGCTCGCTGAGTAGCGCGCGACGGTGAGCATAAAAAGGCGCCGGCCACACGCGCCCGCCACGTGAAAAGTGCGCGGTCCGGAAAGGGTTAAAGGCAGCTTGGTGATTTTCTAATCCTTGCTTATATTGGTAAATCACCAAGCTTGCTTTTGAAGGCCAGTGTGATTATAGTCGCATAGTTACTGCTTATGGCTGCGCTATAGTTCATTGAGGCTATATGTGATTTTCACAACTCATGTTATTCTCCTTGCGTACCCTTCTCAAGACAAAGTGCTTTGTCATCAGGCAGCAGGTGACGGCAGCGGTTTTTCAAGCCCTCTACAGGGGCCACAGTAAGTCTCAGTTACTAGCCATAACTAACCTGGAGTGGCGCTGTCCTTCTCTCGCGATAGTGGACTGGGTGAGCCTTATTTCCCTCGGTTCGGATTTGGCTTGCATCACTCCTAAGCGTTTCCGTCAGAAACGCTAGGGGAGAGGCGGCGTTTGGCGGTTTAAAGGACATATCTCAAACCTTGAGCCACGTTTCAGGCTTTTGAAGGAAGACGATCTCGTCGAAACGTCAGGCCACTAATAAAGTTTCACCTAACAACCTCGTTGGCAGAAGAATTACATTATAATTACCTCTACAGAGGATTCTACGCCCATCCCTATTCCACGTCTTCATGTCCTTCTCCTGGCACAGAATAGGCTAGCACCGCTCGATTCGGTGCTGACTTGTGCTTATTACCACTCTCCTCCCAACCGACCAGGGACCACTCTGGATAAGGTGAATTGATGACTTAGAACGCTATGAAGGCAGGAACGGCGTGAAAATGGAGGTCCCAAACACAAACCTCAGCGTAATTAGGGGTCAGCGTTCACTCAACGACTGTCCAATGTGACGTCATGAAACTCGAACCTATCTCTCCTAGCCATCTGCCACCAGAGTCAACCCTGCGTTGCGCAGTTCGCAACGGCACGTTGAGAGATCCTCAACGCACGCTGTATGGGCGGAGACACAGACGGCTCGAGCATGCGAGTGTGAATGTTCGCGCGAGAGAACGTGTCTAATCGGGCGAAACTGCGCAACGTGGCCGTTGAGAACTGCGCAACGCAGGGTTGACTCTGCTAGCTCTTTATAACAAACTATCCGATCTCTGTTTCCACCGTCCATCTCCTTGACAACGATCTTACCGGACTACTACGACGAGCTAGTGTAGAGGCTGCTTTCAAATAGTGATCACCTCGGTAGAATATCTGTTCCTTGCTGCATGAATGCGGCCAGTGTGAACCAAAGGCAGTTGTATACGGAGAAGTCGTTGGAAATTGTGAATCCGCCTCGAGCTGTCTCCTCAACCCTCCACTCGTACGGTGAAAACCGCGAAACCAGAAAAATAACCACGGAAACCTGAATGTCAACATGAACTCTCTGATTCTTCTTCAAAAATTATGATGAACAAACTTACGCCAATGTACGCGAAAATGATGTACATCCAGATTTCAGTACTGAGCGGCTGCATAAACGAAAAAGACCGAAAACTCTTGCTTATCCGGTTTCTTGATCATGATAGAAATACCAGTAGTCATGAACGGTTTTGAAAAGTCGACACCTCGTTCGCGCTCGCTGAAGTTTTATTTAGGGAGCCTGTTCCAATATTTCTAGAAAAGACCGGGTTGCAGCTATTTCGGTACCTATACGCATAGTCTGGGCACGGAGTAAACCTAGTAATGCTGTCCAGATCAAACGTTACATCCTTACGAGGTGGCTTGTTTGGAGTAGATCCGCCTGGATTCAACAAATTACTGAGTCACCGACTGACCCTTGTAGTCCACTATGAAGTCTGAATACTACTCAAATCTCAGTACGATTTTGAGTGGAAAGGGAACACGTGGCGCGTCCCAACAAATTGACTGACCAACTCAGATTTTTTTGTTCCTTCGATTTTACCCAAAATCTCATCCCTGTATTGACAACAAGCTCTTTGCCCTTCAGTTCAATTCCAATATCTTTTTAACAAAAATTGCTCAACTTTCTAACACTTACAAACCTACTCCTTAACTCCCTCGAAGTTATCACAGTGACCCGTTACGACATTTTTTGGAAATTTGTTGAATGGCCTTAACCCCTTCAATAATTTCATATTGGTAACGACTACATATTTTCGCGAATCCCGTGAGGTGTAAGGATATTTTTGGATCATAAAAAAGCCAGACATTTGGAGAAAAGTGTCCTACGTGTTATAGCGTGACGCGCAACCGCGTCACACTGTCCCAATTCGCGAAATGAATTTCATCCGGTGAAGGTCGCAATGGGCAATTGAACCCTTCCCCTAAGTATTCTTCAAAGAGCGTTTAGGAATCAGCTGCTGCTAATTACTACTCTATTTACTCACTGCCCCTTGACTGACCTGGTTAATTGTGAGTGATGCGACAGCGACATCAGCTCTTCCAGTGAGCAGATCACCCATCATGCCGTCCCAGCTTGCCGTCAGGTAGTTTTGATCCAGTTTTCTCGCCCAGATAAACCTCGAAGTTGAAGCCTTCGATTCGATCGGCCAGCAAGTTTCAAAAGATCGATACAGTATCCCTCGTACTTGTTGTTGCCTTCACATTCGGTACGGTTGTTTGGCTGGGCGCATTCACGCTTGGTCATCACAAATGGAGCCACCTAAATTACACATTATTGCTGCAGACAGTAAGTTTTTACCTGTGGATCTTTCTCCACTACTTTTTCTACACTTTTCTACACTGCGGCTTGACTGAGTTTGACAATTTTTCTCAATATACGCTTAACTAACGCCCAATGATGAAGTTTATAGAAAAGATGGTTGCGTGTTGTTACTATAGAATGAGAATTAGAACTAACCAGGAAGGTCTTTCAGGGCGTGACGAGCTTTTTGAAAACGGTCTTTTGCATGATATAGGGGCAGATGCGGGGACCACAGAACCATGTTTAATTTTTCCTGAACGGCCCTCTGAATACCAGAAAAGGGGGTCCCTAGTTCGATTCCTCTTGGTGACAAATTTTTGCATTTCGAGTTGACGTTCCAAAATTCGCGCAAAATGGAGTTCTGATTGTTCTGGTTGGTTCTAACTCCATTTTGCGCGCGAATTTTGGCACGTCAACTCGAAATGCAAAAATTTGTTACCACGAGGAATCGAACTAGGGACCTCCTTTTCTGGTATTCAGAGGGCCGTTCAGGAAAAATTGAACATGGTTCTGTGGTTCCCGCATCTGCCCCTATATCATGCAAAAGACCGTTTTCAAAAAGCTTGTCACGCCTGAAAGCTCCTGCGTGAGTTGCAAACGCGGAGGAGGGAATAGGGGAAATAGCTTAACTTGTCAAATCGGCCCCCCTCCTTTGCTTGTTCATTTCTGTGTTCGATGATATTGTACGATAGGCGCTCATGTTCTAAGGGGGACATCCAAAATAGGGCTGACGGTAGGTGACACTACGACCAAGCCCAGGAGAAGGGAGAAACTCCAGTGAGAACACAAATTGCTCCATCTCCCCCCCCAGAATCCCTCCCCTCCCTGGGCTGGTCAAGCACAGTAATTGAAAAAAATTCGTTGAATGTACCCCCTTCTAATGACATGAGCGCCCAATCCTACAATAAATAACTTTACCCCTCACTCTAATTCCACACACCCTCCTATTCGCACACACAACAATTCACACCATTAACAACCATAGTCTGAGTTTGTCATCTGTAGATGGGGCTCTCCACAAAGAGCGGCGATCATCGCGGGTGAGTCTTCGCTGTGTTGGGGCGAGCGTGCCCTACGCCCTTATTTATTTACTCATTATTTATTCCTGCTCGTTTGTTCCCGAACAAAATGTAAAATGAGAAAGAGAAAACAAAGTCATGGCACCATATATGTTCGATGGATCGATCAACCAACGCCAATACTGGTATCTACGATCTAGGCCAGCCGCCTCGCAGATGAGTATTTTTACCTTAAATTCAAGCTAGGAAGGGAAGCTTACCATACGGTAACGACTCGAACAGCGTTCTGGTTACGGTTCTCCATTGACTTTCTAGTATGTTGAGCCACGGTGCGGTCAGCGAAAAATCCCATTCCTGCTCTCCACTGCAAGCACCGCCCAATATGAGCCCATGATGTCGGAAAAGAGTTGGTTAAGCTTCTGTAAATCATGAGAGCCGTTCTGTTGAGGTACTACGACTGAATGGATGTATGGAGAAAAAAAGCGGAAAAAATCTGCAGCCAAAATCCCTCCCTCCTGGATGGCATTGAGCATTCTTCGAGCTTACGGCTAAGGAAGATGGGACATTGCGAAGAGGGAGCACACGTCAAAGAAGTGATAGAGCGAAGAGATTAGTAATGGATAAGACACCAGTGCACCGCCATTTACATCCATTCATTCAGTGAAACCCCACTGGGTTTCTTCAAGACATATATAAGCAGATTAAAGCAACCGGTCGCGCTTCCCTTGACAGGGCGTCGTATTGGGATTTTTGGAGCGCGAGGAGTGCACTTGTTGGTGAGGTAGAAGGAGGAATCAGCGCATGGAGGAAACACTAAATTTGCCGATACCGCATCCGTATTAACCTTCACGCTCGCCGCTCGACTAGCATGTTTTGGGAGTCAGTAACTTGGGGGGGGGGGGCTATGATCACAGTTCACTGCCCCATTCAACGGCATATTAGCTGACACGACAACGGGCGGTCACATTCGTAATTGGTCATAGTGCGAAGGAGGAGACGGAGGTGTGCCGAAACTCCCCTGAATGCGAAGCGTTCATCCACGCAGTCGGTTCTGGTTACAAGCTGGTAGCGCTATGCCACTACGAGCGCGAGCTGCGAAATTCATGGCACAAGTTTGGCTGTAACGAGGACCCGGTAGTTATTTTCGTGCTAGGGAAAGTTCCACCAGTTACCGATAGTCTCAGTTAAAGTTCTTATGTCTTATGAGCTGCAAGTTCAAGATGTTATGATGTGGCTTACCTCTTTGCTATTGAACGTTGCCTTCGTGTTCGAAACGAGGTCAATCACGGAAACATCGTAGTTCTTGCGATGGCCAAACCGGTCAAATTCAATGGTCCCAGTGAGCGTACCGTGTTTTGAGTCGATAGACATCTGAAACGTTACTTTTGAGTCACACAAAGAGTACAGTGAAGTGTTAAAATGTTAACCCCTCTCAAAGCTTTTGTCACAGTTCTTCCATGTTCGAATGAGGCGAATGGCCTCGCTGGATGAATTCGGTCGGCTAGTGGATCGCAGTAAATTCCTGGAGAAAAAAAAATCCAAAGAAATGGCCGATAACCAAGAGAGGATGTACCTGGATATCCCCTGTTGAAGAATCTTCCATGCCGGAATGTTCCATGGAACAGGGAATCGTTACTGGCGAGACATTTGGAGAAGCCGGTCCAGGCCACAAGCATCGCATCATACGCCAGGGCACCTCTGCTCTGCAACCAATAGCTCTCATCCAAATGGACGATTCCGGGAAAACAAATAACCCACATCAACATCGTCATAGTTGTTGATAAAATTGTCGTCCAACTTCTTCAAATGCTTCTTCAAGTTCCAATAAGCACGGCTTTCTTTATTGATCAACTGGAAGCCACTTATGTTGATGTTCCCATTTTGGAACATTTCAACGTCATACGGCAAGAAGTCCTGAAAATATAGAGAAATGGGTCGTGAAACGTGAGCTGCGTCCTATACGAAGCGAGCTTGCAATCATCTGCTCATGCAAAATACAGTACAGTCGAATGTCGACTGCAAAGCAGGTAATGAAAGTCTATAAACTCCCATTTCTCAGAACCGGTTAATTGGACCGAAATACCACTTTCGGTATCTCATGGTATAGTATAATGCACTCGAAGACATATTCCGCGATAGCAAAAACGAGTTAAATGTGGGCCTTAAAAAAGAACAAGAAACAACCAAGAAAACCTCGACACTAGGAGAGTTTGGGCGATAAGCGGTCAAGGAGGTACGAGGTGCTGAGGTGACAAGACGACAAACGAGAGAGTATAACTGGGAACGAGAAACAGATACGGAAAGGTGAGGCAGGTGATACAATAAAATGGTTTCACTTTGGAAAAATATAACAGAGCTGCTAGAAAGTTCAGCAGTGGGAAAAAACTGTGAAACGGCTTAAGCTCGCCGAACGGAGCGTTGTTCGTTGTTTCCGCAAGCTCGCTAGCCGCTATTAGGGTCTCATTCCGCCGCGTAGAGAGTTACTTACCCGGTATTCCTTTGCCCAGGTCCATGCTCTCTTTGAACAGACACATTTGTTTCTTTAAAATGCGTTCTATGCGCGGATGTTCAAGGTGTGATTAATGCATATCCTCGCCCTAGCGCTTTCCGCGAATGGGACTTCTATTGCAGACGAAGGCAAACAATTTGCAGGAAATTCCACCTAAAATAGAGAAAGTAAGTGTTTGGTTGGGACTACTGCTTGATGATGAGGACAGGACTTCTTGAATAGCTCGCTCATCATGACACCATGTACATTAATTGAAGGCCAGTTGGTGAAAGCGAACGGAACAGGACTTTGCTTGTGATGCGAAGCACACGTTCACTTTAAAGGAAAGTGTCACGAATAATTTTCATGGGAGATAAGGGAAGTATGCATTGGAGTGGATAAGGTCCTGAGTGTCATTGTGAAGTTTTCAGTGGCAGTGGCGCCTTATCAACGGAGTGATAAGGGCCGAAATCCACTTCCGTTCAGCAAAAACCAAGACTTATCGATGTGGAAAGGGGTGCGATAAGAGCGTGCTAGATATGATACCGTTATCGTTATCGTCCCGTTTTCATTCTGGAGTGCACCTCTTATCAAGCAGCCGCACCTTCTTATCTCATCGTATCATATCTTCCATGGGCTTATTTCGTCTTAACAACTTTGGCTCAACTATATCGAATGATACGCGAGGGTAGCAAATTCTATCGTAAAGCTCAGCGTGAACCGCTTCCTTAAGTTCTTGACATAAGCTTTCCAAAAGTCTTAAGTTGTGGCCTAAAGATTTGAAGTGCGTTTCTTGTGCATAAGGTTTTTGTTTTATCGCCAACGATAACCAGGGAGCACAAAAGATCCGCCGCTAACACTGCGCCTAACTGCATAAGCAGCATGTTTTGTGCAGATTGCGTAGATTCGAGTACATGGTAAGCATTTTCAAAGAACTCACAAAATTGGCGACGACGTAGTGATAATTGGCCTGGCTGAACTGTGCAGTACGAACTGCCGCTAAAAATTTCTGCTGACGAGACGATGACGTCGTGTCGATGAGGATTCTGAAAGAAGCGTCCATCAGCGGATAAAATGACTCTTTATGGGTAGGGCATTGTACTGTTTAGTGAAAGTTGATCGTCTAGTTGAAGTTTCTGAGGAAGATCGTGATTTATTTGATCTCTGGTAATTCAATAAGCTGTGCCTCTAGTGATGGCGTTCGATTTGCGGTGGGGTGATGCATACATAGGCAGGTGAGACACCTCGTTGGAAGTAAAACATCACGGTAATGGCTCACTTCAGAGTTTTTCGAGCTCCGATTCTATTGTTGTATTATGGAATTTCGAATATTTGGCTATGAATGCTGCTTCAAAAGCAGATAGAGCTACGAGTTAAGCAAGACATTCCTTCTGTGAGCTCTAAACCGTTCCACAGACGGTGCCGATATGGCGCTGGAATATAAGAAATAGACCTCTTATGGTTAGAGCGTATTACTTTGAAGAGTGTCTGCGCGAGCTTGAGTCGGAGTGATGGATGTGTTCGACGTATATCTCGCCTCTCAACTCTCTACTAGTCTCTTCCCTGTCTCAGGTTCCCTGATTTTTGCGCACAATTACTTTATAACAGGCTGGTACAGCGCCTTGAATTAATCACTCTGAGTTGATGCCATCTGGGTGAAGCGAGCTCACTAGTGTTACCTACCATTCTCAGTGGTCCCTCCTCATGAGCTTCTGCTACTTCACTTCAGCGTAATCACAGATCTTTTTCTTCGTATTCATTGTAAACTTACAATGTTCTCCGTCCGTTAGTAGAATGATTTCACGCCATTCCTTATGAACGACAAAATCGGCGAGCAGTTCGGCTGGAGACGGTCGCACTGATACTTCGAAGCTGAAATCGTTGGAGACAGTGCTTCGATTAGTTTTCGGGACATAAAAAATGATCTCTTAGCGTTTGTTTATACTACGCGTCAGCAGGAACAAGGAATCTGCCCAAGCTACCGTAATCACCTCGCAATTGCGGCAATAACGTTAATAGTGAAACATCGAAATCATCGTCATAGAGGCAGACTCCGTGTTCAGCCTCACCAAGGTAGTCGCTCCCGTAGATAGCGGTGTGTGGTCAGCCACTGCAGAGGGCGTGTCACCTTAGAATCGAAACGCCCACTAATGCTAGGCGCTAAGGACTTCAACAAATCCCACCAAAATTAACATGGTCCGCCCACCGTTCGATATCTTGTCTGCGTCGCAATGTTGATCTGCTATGCTCTCTCTACTCGGACTTCTCTACCGCTCTCCACGACTCACATTATCTCTTTTTAGGCTTGCCTCTTACAAATAGACCTCTGCCCACCTTAGAGCAGGCTCTTATTTCATAATTTTCACGATTTTCGTTCCATTTTTCCCCACATGCACTACTCCTCCCATTCCTACTTCCACATTTCGAAAGAAGTTACCACACCAATTTATTCCTGCCTTCAATTTGAGCTGATCATTTGCTTTATGCTCTGGACCTCCTTTCAGTACTCCCAGGAATGAGCTTCGCTTTCAAAAGTTGAGATTTTATGAGAAACTCACAGTTAAGTTCTTCCGAAAA